TGTGTCTGGTAGTGTTCTCCTCTCATGCTGAGGAATGGTACTGGCCGGTAACTCATACGAAAGCTAACTCTCATCCATCATGTCGGGCATGTGAGGGGGTTTATCAATATGTCGACATAGTATACCATGTGAATCGGGCTCTTGAATGGTGGGAGGGACTTCTTGAACGATGACAGAGGCCTCTTGAACTGTGGAGGGGCATCTTGAACGATGAGAGGGGTCTCTTGAATGATATGAGGAGCCTCTTGAATGATGACAGGTGAATCGGGATTCTTCTTACGGAGTCTTGGCACTATCGGAGTGAAAGGAGACGTAATGGCACGTGCACGACGTCTGATGCGTGAACCCCGTCGTGCAAGAAAAATCTGACGTAAAGCATCTACCTTATTGGGCCGCTAAAAATAAATTAATACATAAATAAGTAAATAAATAAATAAATAATGCCGAAAAAGGTTATTTGCATTTTTAGTATAATATTAAACAAACTTACCTTATTGCGTAGAGTATGAACCTCATTCTGCAACGATAAAACAATCTCACGTAGAGTGGCTACCTCATCACGTAAAGTAGATACCTCACCACGTAAAGTAGATACCTCACCACGTAAAGCACCATTGTCATCGCGTAAAACATTTACCTCACCACGTAAAGACCGTACCTCATCACGCCATGCACCATTATCGTCACGTAAAGTACCGACCTCATCACGCAAAGCACTGACCTCATCACGTAACTCCCCTAACTCATCTCGTGGAGGTGGAGAACGGGGAGATAAATATCGTGGCATCTTTGCCGGTCGCCTATCTGAGGTGATGGTGGAGAAGAGGCTTGATGATGTGATGGAATAGGTGATGGCTCTCGGTGTGAAGGTATATAATCAGCTTGATCAAGTGATGGCTCTCGAAGTAAGGGGTGCTCATCATCCGTCCCATAAAAAAAAGCTTACTAGCTTGCCACCAATCAGTGGCAAGCTCAGCCTCTGTAATGGATAGTTTGCCTCCTAACAATATAAAAGCTCAAACAAAGTCAAACGTCTACTAGTAATAACTTATTTATATATGGTAGTATTTGTGTTAACTTACATCATTCATCTTCGTATATGGTAGTAAATCTTCCCAATCCAGCAGTCGGATCCTCTTCCAGGTAATAGCCCTAGGAATATCATTTGAATTTTTTCTTGTATATGTCCGCATGCTGGGAAAAACCTCAAATATCCAAATCTACAAACAATATAATACACAAACATTAGTAATTGTTAAATAATTAATTATAATTTTGGAAAAATTATATAGAAATTCTTACCTTAAAGGCCCAAATAAAGCCTACCAAAGTGTATTTGGAACCATCGCCACGCAAACTACGACGGTCCTCAAAGGCAGACGACAACTTTTTCCATGTAGCTTTCCATAGATATGAACCCTATGGAAACACGTTCCATGCATTTAGGTCCTCTACCAATCTTAGAAATAGGTTGTCTGGCCTCTTTGCCTAAAAAGCCGACATTCAAAAGTAATAAAAGGCATACTTGGACAACATCAAGGTCATCCATCCGAGTAAAACCATCTTTAAGAAGTAATCTTTTCAAGTCGTCGACATGTAAACTGAGCTTTACCTTTGACAGCTCAGGAAAAACCCGAGATAACCATGATGGGCGGGCGATATGACTAGTGTACCGACCTACTTCATCGTGTCCGAAACGTAGACCAGTGATTAAGCAAAACTCCTCCCGCTCAAAACAAGTATACGCCGGTGGAAAATGAAACCATATCTCTTCATCACCACGTTGTATCCTCTCGGGTAGATCGTTAGTCATGGTCTGAAGAAACAAATGGGTCAACATAACATCTCCACCTGGATGTTGTACTTTTAGCCATGACCCGAAGCAAGTATCCTCAAATAATTTTCTTTGTACAGGTGTAAGTGTCGACGCTATTGTAGTGGCTAGGTTTAATTTATTCCTTAGAGTCAATGAAGCCGAAAAAAATTTCTAACAAAAATAATAAACATACCAAGTTAGATATACCAAAAACTACAAATTATACACTATAAACAGGCATGATATTAAACAGTGAAAACAAAGCCAAATATGTTTCAAACTAGCACGGTATTCACCCAAGTCATTATTCTATCATAATTTTTTGGTTGAAGTAATGCAAATCATTCAAGTTTCAATTTGCAGAAGAAGAGTAGTTTCTGAAACTTAAATTCGCAACGCGAAAATAAAATTCGCAACACGAAAATGAAATTCGCAACACGAAAATCGCAACGCGAAACTAAAATCGCGTTGCGATTTTCATTTATGTGTTGCGAATTTAAGTTTCAAAAACTATTCTTCTGCAAATTGAAACATGAATAATTTGCATTACTTCAACCAAAAGACAAAACAAAGACAAATACTAACTTCACAGGGTTAAAGACTAAACAGTTTAGCAGTATTGACAGCAACCGAATGAATTTACTAAGCAATCTAAGTGAAATGATTAATCTATATAATGAAATTATCAGTAAATTTATCATCAATTTAAATATGAAAAATCTAATTATAATACAAAAATTTCAAAATAAAAATAATTAAAAGAACTAACCCCGGTGGTTGATTTTTCATTTGTGGCCGTGAATGGTTGTGAGGGTGGCTCTGAGAGATTGAGATAGACGGATTTCGCCGGAGATGGGGACGAATTTCGTCGGAGATGGGGACGGATGTCGCCGTAAAGAGTGAGAGATGAAGATGTGACTGAGTTGTGATTTTGGGTTTTAGGTTGAGTTGCGATTATACTGTTTACATTTGTGTTGCGAAATTAATATTGTGTTTCGAATTCGAAAATAAAATTCGCGTTGCGAAAATAAACGCGCTTTGCGAATTTGACTTCTGTGTTACGAATTTGGAAACTGTATTGCGAAATTGGAGTTCGAGTTGCGAATTCGAGATCGCGTTGCTAATTTGTTGGTCATTTTCGCAAATCCAAAAAAAGTTGATTAAAATCGTATATTATAAGACATTTTCGGTCATTGAGGTTATTTCTCTAATTCAATTGCTTGATATGAATTACGTGCCCCCATCATTGTTCTAATCTAGGCTTCAAGTTCAGCCAAATTTTCTCCAACTTTAAACTAATGATTTTATTTTTTAAACTTGGGCTTGTTTAGCTTCTCGAATCTACAATGAATAAAGCTCGATTAAAATCTAATTACTTTGTTATATTGAGATAATTTGATTAATGTGGTTCCATTAATTGATTTTGATTTTTAAATTTAATTCCATCAATCAATAACTAGATTAATTGACTTAACATAAATATATTAAATTCATTTACTTAGAGTCAAATCTATAATAAAACGAGAAAATAAAGTCACTTTGAAGGCTGGTCTTAACAACTTTAAGTAAATATTTCAACTTACTCTATGATTAAGTGGTAAAAAAAATAGTGGGAGAAAAGGGTATATTTATTGAGGCCATGGCATTCCAGTTACCTGTTCTGGTAATCTATGAACTTAACCTGATTTTCTTTTGATGGTGTTTGAATTTACTGATTCTTATGAGCTTATGATAAATAAAACATGTCGAACTCACTCACTGTTCATATTTTCTATGACAGTAGTCATTGGAGCTGATTTTTGATACTGACACATCATATGCAAAAACAGGGAACGGCTGCAGGAGGCACCATGGTAATAATAGTGAACGGGACTACAGGTATATTACATCCGGTTGGCAGAGCAGGGGTTACACCTCTTGCGAAAAATATAGCTAAACTCGCTACTCATGTCGAGAGGAGGCTGACGATGGGAAAGAGAGGGTACGAAAGGGTCAAAGAAAGATTTCTAGAACCACACATGGCTGAGAGAATTGCAGGAGTACTTAAAGAAGTCCCGAGGAAATCCAAAAACAAATCAAGTAGACACCCATATTGAAACCCCCTCCATGACAATGAAGTAAAAGAACCAGTTTCGATCAGAGCAGCCATGGTGTCCAAAGTAGGGGGCTAAAATGGGATGCATTTTTCTTTTTCTCTTTGGGGACGGCCGACTAGTTTTGACGTCTCCAGTTTTCCTTTTAGGGATGTAAATTGTGTAGCTGCTTTGGACAACTTTCAGCTGTTTATATAGTTGAGATGAGGATTTTATACTTGTAGCATTGATTTCCTCGTATCTTGGGACCGTATGAACTGTGGAATAATACCATTTCTGGGCGGGTGTGGGTTATCATGTCTATATCATAGTTTAAAACAATATATATATATATATATATATATATATATATATGAACATGTTTAAAACAAAATATTTAAATCAACGTATATGCTTTGCCTTGAAAACTGATGAGTCGTATTTTCGTTTAATTTATTACTATATTTTAAATCTCTCTACGTTAGGGAATTCAAATAATTAATTGTATTAAATGATTAGAACTAAACTTGAAGGTTTTACATAAAATATGGTATTAATTGAGATATTATAAATGCAACAAGAAAATAATATAAATGGATAATACACCAAAACTTATATTAATTTTTTTTTCAAAACTTAAAAATCATTACTACAAACGCATGAAATTTGCTTTTTTTTACAACAAAATAAAAAACAATAATATAAATGGTAATCGATCACCACACAAATATAATACAAAAATAATAAAAAATAAAATATACATGACTCATATAAATATATTAAAATAAACAATTTTTTTTATATAAAATGTTATAAATGGTTAAACAATACTTAAAATTATAATAGTCTAAGATAACAAAAAATTAATTGGGCAAACCACTTCCTACTTTTAGAAGGAAAAAAATTGAAAACGTGTTATCATTTTATTTTTTTTTTAAATAAAAAATTTGGTTTTCCAAATCAAATCTAAGACTTACAAAAATAGTACCACCAACGCGCAACCAGTGCGTCCAACTGAAGCGATTTTTACATAAGGGCAAATAAAGAGTTTTTAGTGACTATCCAATAAGAAACCCAACACTCAGAGCATTTAGTCACCCCAGGTTTGGCCTGCTGCTTTCATTTCATCCCTTTATGTACTTCGTACCGTTCAATTCATTGAGTTAGAGCTGGAAACTTGGGTTTCAGTATTTTGAATTTTGTAATGGTACATCTCTCCCGCAAATTCACTACAATACCTACAAATTTTATCCCGATACAGTTCTTAAAATACCAGCAGCAGCAAATCCCATCCCAAAGAACCCAACTTTTCACTCCCTTCTCCGAGCTTCAAAACCAACGCAACCTTTTAGAATCCCAACTCATTTCTGCTCTCAATGGCTGCACTTCACTCACCCAAATCCAACAAATTCATGCCCGTATTCTTCGTAAAGGCCTTGAACAGTGCTGCTATATTATCACCAAACTTGTACGAAGCCTCACCAAAATAGAAATCCCCATGGATAGTTATGCCAAGCTTGTTTTTAATCAGGTTAAGTTTCCAAACCCATTTCTTTGGACTGCTCTTATCCGTGGATATTGCTTACAGGGCTTGTTAGGGAATCGGTTTTTGTGTATACTAGTATGAGAAAGGAGAATACTTTTCCCGTTTCTTTCACATTTTCTGCTCTTTTTAAGGCTTGCAGTATGGGTCTTGATGTTAATTTGGGCAGGCAAACCCATGCTCAGACTATCTTGATTGGTGGTTTTGATAATGATTTATATGTTAAAAATAGTTTGATTGAAATGTATGTTAAATTAGGATTTTTAGAGTGTGGGAGGAAGGTGTTTGATGAATTGCCTGAAAGGGATTTGATTTCTTGGACAGAATTAATTGTTGCATATGCTAAGATTGGGGATATGGAATCTGCAGGGGAATTGTTTGATCAGTTGCCTCTGAAGGATATGGTGGCATGGACTGCTATGGTTACAGGATATGCTCAGAATGCTAAGCCGAGAGAGGCATTGGAATTGTTTGAGAGAATGCAAAATGAAGGGGTGAAAACAGATGAGGTTACATTGGTTGGGGTTATCTCTGCTTGCGCACAACTTGGTGCTGCAAAGTACTCAAACTGGATTAGGGGTATTGTTAAAAATTTGGGTTGTGATCCTACTCGTTGTGTTGTAGTGGGATCGGCTTTGATTGATATGTATTCAAAGTGTGGGAATGTAGAGGATGCATATAAGGTTTTTGATACAATGGAAGAAAGGAATGTGTTTTCGTATAGTTCGATGATATCAGGGTTTGCTATGCATGGTTGTGCTTATGCAGCATTGGAATTGTTTCATGAAATGGTGAATATGGGGATCAAACCTAACAGAGTTACATTTATTGCAGTGCTTACAGCATGTAGCCATTCAAGAATGGTAGAGCAAGGTCGTCAAATATTTGCATCCATGGAGGAGAAATTTGGGATTTCTCCAGGAGTTGATCATTATGCTTGCATGGTGGATCTTCTTGGTCGAGCTGGACTCCTGGAAGACGCACTTAAACTTGTAGAAACTATGCCAATTGAGCCTAATGGGGGTGTTTGGGGGGCATTGCTTGGATCATGTCGCACTTATTCTAATACCGATATCGCCCAAATTGCTGCAAACCATTTATTTGAGCTGGAACCTAATGCAATTGGCAACTACATCTTGCTCTCTAACATATATGCTTCAGCAGGGAGATGGAATGATGTTTCAACAGTGAGGAAATTGATGAGAGAGAAAGATCTGAGAAAAAATCCTGGGTGTAGCTGGATGGAAGTGAAGAAGGGTGTCATTGAGGAGTTCTTTGCCGGGGACATGACCCATCCACGGTCTGGTGAGATGAAGCATGTGCTTGAGCATCTTCAAAATGGGTTAAAATCTATCGGGTACGAACCAAACATGAATTCTGTTGCTTATGATGTGAATGATGAAGAAAAGAGACGGATACTAATCACTCATAGCGAGAAACTAGCTCTGGCATTTGGACTACTCAGTATAAATGCTGATTGCCCCATTTGGATTATGAAGAATATAAGGATATGTGAAGATTGCCATTCATTTATGTGTGGTGTATCTCAAATAACAGGGAGGGTAATTATTATAAGGGATAACTTGAGATTCCATCATTTCCATGATGGGAAGTGCTCCTGTGGTAACTTTTGGTGATTTAGTACCATGAGTCGATATATCTTAGATACAAAGAATCAGTGACTTTTTTTTTTTGTATTCTTTCAATATTTCTTGATAAGCAAATTTCTCAATTGAGATGCACGTTCTTTACAGTGAAAGCCAATTCTGTTTTGAAAATTTATTGGGAATATTGGGATACAAAAACAAAATTGCAACTATAGGAAATGTAATTATGTTACAATAGCATAGGAGATTTTACGTAACAGGCAATTTAATTTTTATTGTTTTCTATGCCAAGTCACTTGGATTAAATATAATACCATAAATATCTACAAATTACACTGCCAGAGTCTGCCACAAAGAACCCAATACTAAAAAATCAAGTGTCAAAGGTAAACAAAACATTTTGGTAGTTGCCAACTCCCAGGGCATATTATAGCTCTCAATAGTGTTCTAGGTCAAACAATAATACTGGTTCTGAAAGCATATTACACAGCGATAGAAACGATCATAGATAAGACGATCAACATCTAAGCATTTGCAGATGCAATCTCAGGGTGGTAGTGAAGCATCTCAATCCACACCATCTCTCTAATCATTTGTTCTCCTATGTTCTCATCTATGTCGAGGTCGATCGGTACTTGTGCAGGTGGATTGGACCTCGGATCATATAACCCCGACATATAGGGATGTAGGAGTGCTTCTGTAACGGTAATTCTCTTAGATGGATCGAAAACGAGCATTCTTTGCAACAAATCTATGCCTAATGGATCGGCTTGAGGGTATAGGTGAGAAAAATGTGTGCCCCTAGAGTAGGGAAGTGACTTGATATACCTTCTGGCTTTGGGGTTATCGATAAATGCAAGATCAGCCTCTTGCTGGCTTCCAAGGACATTGATAATTAGCTTAAGCTGGTTGAGGCATTCTGTCCCAGGGAAGATGGGTTTCCGACCAAGAATCTCGGCAAAGATGCACCCGACTGACCAAACATCGATGGAGGTGCTGTAATTATCACAACAGAGTAGGAGCTCCGGTGCCCGGTACCAGCGAGTGACAACATACTCCGTCATGAATTGTTCATTGCCTCTACTGGTTCGTGCCAGCCCGAAATCACATATCTTCAGGTCACAGTTAGCATTGACAAGGAGGTTCCCAGGCTTCAAGTCTCGATGAAGAATGTTCGCTGAGTGTAGGTACTTAAGCCCTCGTAGTAACTAAAACATATACTTAAAGGTCAGAAACAGATAAAGTATTTAAATTAATACGGATCCAAGCCATCTAAAGCACAAGAATCAGTGGATATTTACAGTCATTAATTACAGTCTAGACAGTCAAGAAGATAATTATGTTTAATGAAGCAATTATGTCGACAACCAGGGAAAAAGCTGCAAGAGAGGATGTAACACTGCATACTAGTATGGCCTTTATGATTCTCAACAACCCAGAACTGAATCATTCAGCTTCTATGTCATTCGGACTTGGGGTTGAGTGTTGGCTACTGGGTATATATCTGATATGTGCATATGCTCAAATTTCTATCTAAAGCTTTTCTATATACTCGGACAATCATACTTCCACACCCTTGTCTAGATAATGACTGGACATGGATGCTTTAGGGGAAAGAAGAGTTCGTGTAACACAGGCCTCCGTATTCATTGAATTGTTGCTGCATTGTCATCATTCCGTACTTTAGTATCAAGTTTCCACCGGTACATGTTGTTATAATAAGCCTAACAAGTAACAACTCATGGCCTTTTTTTCCAGCTAAACTAAATGCAAAATGGGACCAGATGAGCAAGAAAGTCATCAATGCCCCAAAGCTAAAGGATGCACAGAAATTAAGTATCTAAGGACAAGCTATTAACACTAACTAAACATTTATTTACAGTCTAAAGTAAAGTCCCTAAAAAGGGGATATCAAACAACAAAATGGTAAAAGGAAACTCATAGATACTCAATATGCATCTAAATCCAAAATTACCTTACAGAATTGGTGAATGGATTATAACACCGAAATTACCAACAAAGAGAATATATTTGTCAGTACCTGGAAAATGAAATACTTGCAGTGATCATTGGAAAGAGGCTGAGGGGATTTGATAATCTGATGCAAATCGGTGTCCATGAGCTCATAAACCAAATAAACATCATTGAAACCAGTTCTATGAGTAGGCACCATTACATCTTTCAGAGCAATCACGTTCTCGTGTAGGATACGTCTGAGAAGTTTCAGCTCCCTCAAAGTTCTCAAAGCATCGACACGGTTCTCAAACACATTGTGGATCTTCTTTATGGCTACTTTCTCGTTGGTTTCCTTGTTGATGGAGGAGCAAACGATGCCGTATGCTCCTCTCCCTATAGGCTTGATTGGAACATATTTTGTATCAATCTCGAAAAGGGTTTGCCACATTGAATAGTAATGCTTCCCCCTTGGCTTCACCCCATTCGGTGGCTCCACAAGAGTCGCCATTTTTTCTCTCTGTGAAAACTTCTACAAAGGTGAGAATCATCACCAGAAAAATATAAGGAAAAGAAAAAGCAAAAGATATAAAAAGGGCTTTTGGAATCAATTCTTACTTGCCGCTTCTACTTGTTAGCTCTGATCTTTTGAATCAGTTTCTTCACTTCCCCCCCCCCCCCCTAAAAACCAAAGTTTTCTTTAGTTACGCTTTTCTTGAATCTATCAGCAAACTCCAAATTCAGTTACTTTCAAATCATGCCACTGTAAAATCCTTAAAAAAACCCGACTTTTTCCAATCCCTTTTCTTCAACCTTTAAACCAACTCCAAATTCACAAATTCAAAATCAATCCACTGTAAAAAAATTCCCTTCATTTGTATTTCAAAAACAAGACTTGGGGCAAAGAGAAAGAACTGATTTGACCTTAATTCGAAGTTTCCGATGCTACCAAAGAGACAAAAGAGAAAGGGAAGATATCATGAGAGTATGCAAAGGAAAGAGCTGGGACGTGACGCTCACACGGCACTTTCCTTGAGTTATAAAACGACAACTTCGTACTGTTTTGGTCTTTGGGGTTTTAAGAAAACTCTCCCGCTCTCTTGCTTCATGCACAAACAATCTTAAAACCCTTTTTTTTAACTTGAACATATAATTTTGCAGCTTGGCTTGCTTAAGCTTTTGCCCCACACAAACTTGAACATATAATTTAATTTATTTATTTGAGAATTTTTATAGAATAGATTTCTTGATAATCAAGTATTTAAATTTATAAATGTTTGTATTACAAGTTTTTTATAATTAAATAGTTAATCCTATTTTATATATAATATACATTCTTTAGTAATTAATTATTTAACTTTATAATATAAATGGAAAAAATATTATCCTTGTCTTCTTGTTTACTAATACTACAATGAAAAAGAAAATTACTAAATTGTGGTTATTCTTTTATAAGCTTAGAATTTGGTAATTATAATAATAATTAACCCTAGAAATTTACAATTGATTCCGATGAGGACAATGGGTGGAATTCTTGACCTGTTAATTAATAAATTATATCCTCCCTCACCTGTTACTCTGTGTTGAGAAAAAAGTTAAAAATACAAATCTTTAATTAAAAAAATTAAACTTTTTTAAATTATATTTAAATGAAATAAACGATAAAAAGATGTTTGTTTTGCACACATTCTTGCCTTTGCTTGTCCTTCAATCTTCTTATTCAACGACATATCCGATTTCTCACCCCCACTTCAATCTCCAAACAAACAAGGCGGCGACACGTGTACTACCGCTCTTGGCCGGCAGCTGGCTTGCTTCCATTTGCCGGAACTCTGAACAGATCTCCAATGATTACGATTCAGTATTCATGTTCGGATAAAACTTACTTTCATTCATTGTTGCCGAAAATAAAATGCATTCTTTTTCTTAATCATACACTTGACTCAGAGATAATTTTTTTAAATGTTTAAGTATTATTTCAAATTTTAATTTTTATATTTTAAATTTGTAAAATTTAATTTTTATATTATCTATATTTAAAAATTTTAGTCATCCTTCTAATTTTTATTTAATTTTATCATTAGTTATTGATATATAATTACACAATATAAAGTTAAAAAAATTTACACTAATTTTAAATCGTTAGATGAGTAAAAATAGACAACCAAGATTAATAGTAGAAGATGAGAATATATTTCCTATAAAAAAATAAGGAAATAATCTTAATTGTCTATTTTCACTCATCCAATGATCCAAAAATAGTATACAATCTAATTTTTTTTTACATTCTGTAAGTGGATCCTAATATATATATATAAGAAAATAAATAATATTTTAAGTTCTCTACGTATCTAAATTTAATTAAATTGACTTTCAATATTTAAAAATAAATAAAGATATATTTATTCAACAATATCATTTTTGTCAATCATTTATTATAAACAATTTTAAGGCCGTTTTAATAAAAGAAATTATAGACAAAATATTAAAAAAGTTGTTTCGTCTTTTGATAGCTATCAAGTTAACATTATAAAAAATTAATAGAAATTGATAAAAACATTATCAAATAAAAATGATATATAAACTTAATGTTATAAAATTAAGTTAATTTTTTTAAAAAAAGAACCATAATCATCTTTGACCTGTTGAAACCTAAATTCATTAAGGACTAAAAACTAGACAAGCATTTGTTTTGTTTATTTAATTTTGAATTTTTTTATAGATTATATCAACTATAAACGTGACATAATTTATTAGATTTTTAATCTATTAGTCGATTAATCCAAATAAAGTATCGTAAAAGTTCATTACAGAACAATTCCCGTAACACATTTTATTCTATTCACAATATCATAATTTAAATTTTTAACATTACTTGAGAAACCTAATACATCATCATATTAGACCAATTGATTGTTGACATAATTTATTAGTTTTAATCGTGAAATTAAAATTTTTCATTGCATATATATCTCACGTAATTATATATATTTAAACTTCAAATCATATATTTACTAAAAAAATGTTTAGATTTTAAATTTAGGCAGGTTAAAGATTCCATTAAGCAATTATGATATTAATCATTCAATATCTTAATAAAAGTCAACAATGAAAGGAAAAGGAGGACTAAAAGGTTAAAAGTAACCAAATCTTATAATGTCTTGTCGCTTTTTTCCTAAGTTTATTGCATTATCTTATGGATAATTATTGATGGGATTAGTTACATAAAATCAAGATTTGACATAAATCTTAATGAAAATCTATTAATGATAAATGATTCGAAAGATCATACCGTTAAACCTCATCATTTATAGATTTTTTTAAAAATATTTATTATAATCATGTCAAAATATCATATATTTATATAAAAAAAATTAATTTATTAATAAGTTAATATTATAATTTTTTTATTTTGGTTAAATCAACTATTTTGTGGCAGTTGCAGGTATAGATAATAGATTAAAAAAAAAAAAAAATCTATTATTTAGGTGTGGATCATGTGTTAATTATTCAAACAGGATTTGTTGTGTAGGTAACCTTTCACAAATGAAGGAATATCTCAAAACAAAATGCGCACTGTCAACATATACGGATTTATCGGATCCAAAAGAAAAACTAGGAAAAGTAAAACGTGTGGCTGCTGGGATACGAGCCCAGGTCTCCACGGCCACAACGTAGAATTCTTACCAATAAACTACAGCCACTTGTTACTCTGATTTCAAATTTAACTTTTTCGTATTCCTTATCTATATTGAAAACTCACACTGTGTAAATTGTGAAGTATGATTATAGTATTCTTCGTTGTAAAAGACCCTGAATTTGATGGATGTAGCATAATGGACAGAACATATAGGGAATCGATCCTTACTATAGTTATATACTCTCCGCCACTAATTTACCAATGTTCCTTTCCGTTTCCAGTTTCGCCTTCATCATGATGCTTTAATTCATAATGTTTAAACAAATTCTGATTAATTACTTATTTCAACAAATCAGAGAAAAGACAAAAAATGGGTATAAAGCTAGACCCTATTATAAATATTACTATAAATCTTTCATCGAAAATCTACACTGTTCTTCCTGTATTTCTGCAGAACATCAACTGATGACAGATACCAATACAAGTTATAAATTCTGTGGTGTAGGATCTGCAGAGAAGTGGGAATTTTCCTGTTCATTCAACTAAAATATTAAAGAAATCTTTAAGCATTTTTAGACTGCATACAATATTGACAGAAAAAGTATACTGATATATATATATATATATAGTAGCAGAAAGATTATTGTATTTTATGCCCTTGACATTATTTTTTTTAGCATAAGCAATATAATGCATCCCCACTTGGATAGTTGGATTCCATTTGGGGGCGGGCTATATAATGCAAGTGGATTAGACAGTCTAGGTGCTCTTTCTCACTTTGAATTTAATATTCAAACTCCAATCCTCCTAACAATAACATTAACAAAAATGCCATCTTGGTATCCCAATGTTCACCCAATGTTCATCTAATAATTGTATAGTTTTAAGCACTCACTAAACTATATATATATATATATTATCTGATATTTGAACAATTCTGAGCCATATATAAAAGATCAACTAATGTTTGAAACCATGTATGAAGATTGATTTGATGCAGAAAGTACTGGTTATAAGCATGAAAATAAGTGGTGGGAAAGTAGAAGAGAAGGCAAGCAACAAATTTGCAATCTTGCCCATATCTACCTTTTTCCTCTGATCTAACCTTTTTGGGGTTTCATATAATTTGGTTATTATATATATATATATATATATATATATATATATATATATATATATATATATATATATATATATATATATATATATATATATAGGCATGAGCACCTTCAAACTAGTTAGTTTTTAGAATGTACTCTCTTCATTGATGCCTGCTTAAGCTGATCAAGCCATTCTAAATGTCAAGTAACATAAACACTGCCTGCTTAACTGAAGTCGGAAGGATTAACATTTAACATAAGTAATGATGGCCGATTGCAGTGAATATCAGCTATGGAAAACGCTGAAATAACACATAACGACGGTAACATCGTGTTGCAGTCCGCCGACAGACATGCATACAAAGTAAAGTACCATTTCTCTTGTAATGGATATGATACCAAGTACAAAGACTAGCTATAAACTAATGACCATATTCACATATACAGTAAAAGTATCCACCTGTACTGGTGAAATAGTGGCTGTGATTTAACAACCTGATAATATTTTTAACTTTTCGAATGATAACCCTACAATATGCCTATATATATTGTATTGCATGATAGGTCTTTGATTGAAAAGAACAGAGCATTTTTCAAACAGAAGTTTCCTCTCTCAATGTTCAGACCTCCCTTTGAGTATCTCACAGCAATTCCGAAATAAGGATTCCAATCATGGCTTATCCATCTATGTGTTTGTGGAAGTAATAGAGAATACAAAAAGAGAAACTTATTCCAATATATTCCTATATATATATACACACAAAATTTATAGGGTACTTCACTAGCAAAGTGAAGCTGGTTAAAGTTTCTTGGCAACCTCAAAGTTTAAAGAAGTGAATGAGACTTTGCAGTTGCAGGGAGAGGAAATAAAGTGAGCAAGCAAAGCGTTTGATAGCTAAACTAGTTTACTTGAATCAAGGGACAAGCTTTCTTGTTTGATTTTTGTTTTCTTTTTGAAGTCACCATGGACTCTTCAAAACTCCATTCTCAATTCAAGGTTGAAGAACAGTATGTTAAGTATGCTTCTCTGCTAACTCAAACCGGCCATCAAATATCAACCGAAGATGAAAGGAAGCCCGACCACTTCCCGTAAGTACTAAACTACATAGAAACTTCTGATTATATATCATGTTTAGTTCTATAAACTTCTTATGTTTCTATTCATGCGCCATAAGCCGGTGGAAGTTAGTGATTTAAAAGGGAAAAGGGAAGAAAACTGATTAAGACATTAGAATCTGAGACATATTCTTTACTCTAATTCAAGATAACTTTTTTCATTTCTATGCTACATGATTGATTCTACAACCTATGGAAAGATGAGTAGGGATGTTTTCAGCATGATGATAAAGTAGGAATGTTTTCATGTTGAACATCTAGCGGTTATTGTTATTTCTTTCATGCAGGAGTTTTGGTAGCAGACACAATAGGAATTCGGTCGAAACCATCCCGAAATCAAGGGATCTATGGACACCCCCTTTGATAAGGACTTCATTGAATGAGGATAGCTTCGACCAACAACCCGCAAATGAGTTTCTCCTTGCAAATACCAAAGATGATATGTCAGGCTCCTTCCCCAAACTGAGTGAGACGATGTATTGCAACTCTAGCGCAGAGGACTCGTATTTACTGTCTAGAAAACACTATCCACAGTCCAGTGATCAAGATCTAGGAGGAAATCTATGGCACAGAAATTTTTCCGTTGCTGACAACATGACTGAGAGGCAGTCATCGTCTGGAAACTTTTACACTGATGCTAATGGTCAGTCCCCATGTTCGGGAACCGCAGCAGCTAGCGGATATGATTTCAATCATATCTTTCCAAATGCAAATATTTCTACCCCAGATATGTGTTCCACATTGATTTCAAACTATTTGGACTTGAACTTAAAATCCTTGGATCTTTTGACCTCTACATATGATATTGGTGGGAGTTACAATCGATCTTTTGTCGAAATTCCTGGAAAATTAAGCAGAAATGTGCTTATGGGCCATGATCTCAGAAGAGAAAGCAATGTTAGTCCATCCACCAGCTCCGAAGTATTATTTCTCTCTTATTCATAAATATACATTGTTTTTTTCTTCATGCATTTAAAAGTTCATCAACACTGAAAGAGTTCCTATTGCAGTTCAATGCACTGCACATGGTCATTCTTCCAAACTATTTCCATTGATTACTTTTTACATTTTATTTTTATCACCCTAAAAGGTATCAGCCTTTGTTAGTGGATCAACAAGCACAAAGAGACCTGGTAGCTTTTCCGAGTCAAAGGACTCCCATACCGATGCTAAGAAGCAGCGGTCCTCAATGTCACAATCCCCATGCCCAACATTAAAGGTGGTACTAATGTTACCAATGCTTCCATTTTTATTTTCCTTTTATCTTTCTTCAATTTCTCACAAGCTTGGACCTTGGTTTTTCAACCATAGGTTAGAAAGGAGAAACTAGGAGACAGGGTTGCAGCACTTCACAAGCTGGTGGCACCATTTGGCAAGGTACATTTCTCTCCATGTTACTGCCTCATTACCATCCCACTAAAGACTGAATGAGATGAGAAAGATTTTTAATTTTAAAATTATATATATAAAAATTTAAAATATCGATTGAGCCATATTTATATATCTAAGTTTATGCATGGAGTGATTGCCAATTTGCCAGACAGATATTGCTTCAGTGTTAACAGAAGCCATTGGCTACATCCAGTTCCTCCATGACCAAGTTGAGGTATTTTCTTCTTTTTTACTCTCTTTGAGTTATTTTCTTTCCTGTTACTACTTTATAATATTTTGACTTAAGGAATATAATTGCTTAGGGACCCTGAATAGGCTTTTTCCCCCTTCCATTTCCTTTGCAGACATTGAGTGTGCCATTTTTGAAATCATCACAAACCAAGCTTTATAGAACAATGCAAATGGTATGAAAATTCCCAAGCCATCTCAATAGATATAAACACAAACATAAAATATGCTAGGAGTCCATTATTGACAGATTAAAACTGCAATTTTTTTATCTTATCTGCAGGGTTCGAAAGAAGAAGGAAAAGAAGAGCAGAAGCCTGATCTTACAAGTAGAGGACTATGCCTGGTGCCCCAGTCTTGCGCCGAGTACTTTATTAATTGTTGCTTTAGTTGAATTTAGACGTCCCCTTTTGAGAAACTCGAGGTTGTACATAAAAAAAATGATTTTGGCCTTCGGAATTATGAAAACTACTGGTGTAGGCTCAAGGTCTGGTTATTGAGACAGAAAGCTTTAGCTGGTTCATATATATTTGTCAACCTCCATGAAAAAATATTTGTTAGGGATCATCAATTTGGAAATGTTATTAATATTGTCATAAAACTTTCCCACTTGTATATATTTGTATGCTTCTCTTCTATTTAGCTCCTTGTTAGCTTATGTTGTCAGCATCCAGCTTTGTCTTCCTTCACCAGAAGTACTGAAATACCCGAAAACAGAAACTCAGACTGGAATGCAAACTACTTTTTTCATTTTTTTACATTTCTTTTAGCTATTGACAATGCAACACACACTCTATAAACACTGTTGTTCGAACCCAAACCATTTAAGGAGATCAACGATTAATGTTTAACTTCTTAGTTGCTATAAGCTCTTGCTCCAAGGCATCGGCCCGGTTTACTGCAGAATTAATTGATAGAAAAAGTAACACACATATTAAATTTATATAATCTATTTTACTTTTTATCAATTTTTTATATTTTTAATAATTTTATAAATTTTAATATATATATTTGTTATCATTTTTATTTTTATATAAAAAATAAAATTTAAAGTCAACTTCAGCAGAAAGATAAAATAAGTGTGATCAGTTAAATAAATCTGCTCATCATTTGATTTAATTTAATAAATTATAGTAAAATTAAAATCAAAATGGTTTTCTTAATTCGAAGGTAAAAAAATACCATTACACCCCGCATTTATAATTCTTGCCAAAATAATCTTGTCCACATTTTGTTTGCATTATTTTTTCATGTTTACAACCATATTCAAATAATTATTATATATATATATATATATATATACCAAAATAATATGAAGTGGTTATAAGATAATATTTGTTAATAATCTTTTTTAGTCATGGATAACACATACACACCCTACATAAAGGATTTAAATTACGATTACGGTCACGATTCGTTTATTACGAGTGTAATGACTGCAAGTATCGCGGTCATACAATAATAATATCGGACGATACCGCAACCGCTATATATTTCAACAGAGGAATCAATACACTACTTTTCATTTCTAAACATCGGCAATGGCGTGTAGTAACATCCCAAAGATATGGTATTGCAGAAACTCCAAAATCCAAGTTACCTGCATATGAAAGAAAGAAAGAGACCATTTAGTACCCCTCTCATTTATGCAATATAATCTTTCTAGCCTTTTATTAAATACAAATTTCAAATTTTAACAGAACTTTTAACTTTTATTTGATTTGACCCTCGAATTTTATAATTTTACCTTTAATTTTTGTTAATAGATTACCCTTTTTGTGTAAGCAGGCAATGATTCGTTAAGGTGATAAAAATGACGTTTCGTGGCACAGAGGGAAAACTCTGGTGTGCGTACACACTCCTAAACTCATTGGCTTTCGGATCAAATCTTCAACACTGGATCTCTCTTTTTTGCTACTTTTGTAATGACCAGATTTTTATTTAAACTTTACCCTTTTCATTTTATCATAATATATACGCATATTGGCTCTTTCAAAACCTAATATTTGATAACTGATGTGTAGATTAAAGTTTACCAGAAGTTTCTTTGTGATGAATCATGCACCAGCTGAGAATGATCAATTTAATATTAAGCAAAATAAAAAAAAATAAAATACCTTTTTTTCTAAACTTATAATTTGTCTCGAATTAATAAATTACCAATATTTTTTAATTTCTGTAGTATCAATAGTATAACCTTATTAATTACTAATATCCAAATTTCTATATATGTAATCAACAGTATAAAGCACTACTTTCAATAGTATAGCCTTATTAATTATCAATTTCCAAGTTTCTATATATGTAATAAATCTTACAACAACTGAAAATGATGAATATAATATTAAGTAAAAAAAACAATGGTCCGCCATTGACTACCAAAAAGGTCCCATGAATGAAAACAGAATCAGTTGTCCTCGAGGATTTTGTTGTGTGAGGACTTGAGAATGTAATTTGAGAGAATACGTTAATGTGTCCACTTTGTAAAATATTTTTAGATCGTCACTATTTATAAGATTTTATCGTATTCTATTATTTTTAATATTAATAAACAAATTATTTTTTACTCCTAAGTTTTTTTCGTTCGAGGTTGTTCAGTTAAAATTTCGTGTTGTCTTCTTCTCCTTTTACTCTCCCATAATTTATGCTGGTATATATAACAGTTTTCTTGAACCAGAAGTATACTTTTAAGCTTGTTTTTAGCCCTTTTCTTTTCTCTAAATTCCTCGAAATATTTATGTTCTGTTCTAGCTTTGGAGAGACTGCAATTTTCACCATGTTTTCCACCAAAGAAATGCCTTCTCCATCATCATTGTTCTCGGCCTATGCTTCCATGACTGCTTCCATCATGCTGTTTCGATCAATGGCCAACGATTTGATACCTTACCCTCTCCGAAACTCTCTCTTTTCAAGCCTCAGCTACTTGTTTAAGCCACGTTCGCAAATGCTCACTCTGGTCATCGAAGAATCAAATGGTATGGCCAGAAACCAAGTCTACGATGCATCAGAAACTTACTTGTGCACCAAAATCAGTCCCAACACCGAGAGGCTCAAAATAAGCAAAACCCCAAAAGAAAAGAACCTCACAATAAGGCTAGAGAAAGGTGAGAAGATCGTTGATTCCTTTGAAGGCGTTGAGCTTAAATGGAGATTTGTATGTGCTGAAGCAGAAAAACGTAATAACCCAAACGATCCCTTCCCTGTAAGAGCTGAGAAACGATCGTTTGAGCTCAGTTTCCATAAGAAGCACAAAGACTTGGTTTTGGGTTCTTATGTGCCTTTTATACTTGAAAGAGCAAAGGGAATTCGAGATGAACGAAGGGTTCTGAAGATGTATACTCTGAACACGCAAAATTATGGAGGAATGATGTGGGATTCCATTAATCTTGAACATCCTGCAACTTTTGAGACGTTGGCGATGGACCCTGAGTTGAAAATGCTGTCATGGAGGATTTAAACAGGTTTGTTAGGAGGAAAGAGTTTTACAAAAGGGTTGGGAAAGCCTGGAAACGGGGTTACTTGTTGTATGGACCGCCCGGAACTGGGAAATCAAGTTTGGTTGCTGCCATGGCTAATCATCTAAAGTTCGATGTGTACGATCTTCAGCTCGCGAATATAATCCGAGACTCCGACCTCAGAAGATTGCTGCTTTCGACAGGGAATCGATCTATACTAGTGATCGAAGACATTGATTGCAGTGTCGATCTACCGGATAGGCGGTATACTGTCGATGGACGTAAACAACCCGAACATCATGTACAGGTTTGGCTTCTCTACTATTTAAAAGATAATTACTACAAGTTTTTAAGTATGTTAGTTAGGAATTAGCATTATTTGAATCATAAAAGCAAGAGTTTCACTATTGGGGTTCAATGGTTCATTATACTTTCTCCTGTATTTCTTTAATCCTTATTGGTCCCCACCTCACCGCTTCCTTTTGATCTCTCATTGCAAAAACCCAACTTTTTCAAATTGGGAAATTGCTAGGCAATTGTTTATTGGACAGCAGAGCAAGGAAAAGACTAGATGATGATGATGATAATGGTGATGTCCTTTTCAGACATGTATTCTCTTGTCCTATAGCTCGTTGAACAATTTCCAGGCTTTTAGCCTTTCCAAGTCATTCGACAATTGTTTGTTGTTTTATCAAATTTAGAACCTTAGTACCCCACATGGTTCATCGTTCAGTGCATCCATCATGTGCAAGGATGGACCGGGGACGACAGGACAGTTGCCCTTAAAATTTTCAAATAATTATATGTTTTATTTGTTTTATTTATATTTTTAAGTTTTATAAGTTCGTCCCTTAATATAAAATCTTAGGTTTGTCTCTGATCACGTATATGTCACTTTCAAGGTAGCCATCAAATTTGTGTGCCCATTTGCATACCATTTAATAGGAAACTGGGAACCTTAAGGGGGACCTTCCCTTCTATCCTTGAGTTTTATGGGGCAAATTGAGAACCCAAATGTTTATTATCATTATTATCTATGGATAAAACTAGTTTGAGCTTGAGAACGAGCTGCTTATGAACCATCATTTGCAGTTCCAAAAGTGTAAGCTAAGTTCTTTGTACATGTTTGTAAATTATGCAGTTGACACTATCAGGGCTGCTCAACTTCATTGATGGACTATGGTCTAGCTGCGGAGATGAGAGAATCATCATATTCACAACTAACCACAAGGACAGGTTAGATCCTGCTCTATTGCGACCGGGCCGCATGGACATGCATGTTCACATGTCCTACTGCAACCCTCAAGGTTTCAAGCTTTTGGCCTCGAATTACTTGGGAATCCATGGCCACCACCACCTTTTCGGTGAGATTGAAGGCTTACTGAAGAACATCGAGGTCACTCCTGCACAAGTTGCGGAAGAGCTTATGAAAAGTGAAGATGCTGACATTGCGCTTGGTGGACTCGTCAAGCTCCTGAAGAGGAAGAAGCTTGAAGGCGATGAACCGATCGGTAAAGATGCTCAAATGTTAGGTGTCCGTGATGTTAAGAGACAGAAAGTTGAGATCAAGCGCAAGTCTCCTAGAATCAGTAGAATAAAGGTCAATAGGAGAAGAACCATATGATCAGTAGCTATTATAATTTTCTTGAACCTGCTGCTTGCTTGACTTAATAGTTCACTCTGGGAGTGTTCAGTGTTCTGAATAGGGGTGAGATTTCAAGGCTTTGAATGAAATGTCACGTTTTGCTTTAGTTTAGAAGAGAATCATATAATCCTAAAAATTTAGCATGCAAACATTAACGGTAATAAAAATACTAAGATTGTCAATGTCTTGATTCAAACTTTACATTTTATAAGACTATATGAACCAATAGACTAAGCCTCGAGCATGCAATGGTGCACTACTTTCAGTTTTGTAATTAAACTATCCGTTTTGTTTCATTTTAGTACAACAATTTTCATTTGTTTTAAAATCATACTTAACGTTTACTTTTTATTTTATTTTGGTACCTCGCTGTTAAAAACTTAGTGGAACTATTATAACATCACGCTTTTGTATGGATAAATTATATTATTCATCACTCAACTATCTTCTCACATATATTTTGGTCACCGAAGTTTACTTTTTTCTAATTTAATACTTAACTTTCAAATTACTCCTAATATAATCTCTCTAACTATCAAACTTATTTTTTATTTTAATTATATATTAATAAAATAGTAATAAAAATGTCATGTCACAAAAATTATTAATAAAATAAATTAGAGTGATTAAAAATGAGTAGTTAAATTGATTTTTTTAAACGTTAGTGCCAAAATAAGATTGATGATATAATTACGTGATGAATGATGTAATTTACCCATAAAAAATGTCACCTGCGGTAGTAATTCTTTCAAAATTTTAACGGCGGGTACTTTGGTATGATTTTAAAACAATTGAAAGTCTAGGTACTAAAACGAAATAAAAGTGATAATTTAGATAATAACAGTATAACTTACCCTAAAAAATAATGTATAATGCAAATATTGGTCAATCATTTAGCCCCACTTAATCTAGAGAAAGAAATGGTAATTACGTAATTGGTTATTTAGTGTAACCCACATCAACAGGACAGATCAGTGTTGAAGCTGAAAGGGTTCCCTTTTATCCTATTATTAATGTCTTTTTCGTATAAAACACACATGAAGTGTATTTAATTCTGAGAAAATGGTCTTGGCTTGTAACTTTCGGCATGAAAAAGGAAAAAGATATAAAAGTTATTTTTTTTCTTCCTCAAAGTCATTCCTTTATTCTAACAAATAACAATAATGTGAAGCTCTTAGTTGATGTTGGGCTACGATAAATGTAGAAATTTAAAATTTATGAGACAAAATCATGAAGCTTCCCAATCAAATAATGCGATAACTAATAAAAATTATGTTATTATACATTAATAATTTGTTGATTCGTGAGTGTTTTTAATTGTTAAATGTTGAAAGTAAAAAAAAATCATGTGGGGGCGGCTGGCAAGGAAATTTAATGGGCTGCTAATTTTTCAAAGTTAGACAGCCTATTTTTTTGAATTTAAGAAATGATTAATTACATTTTAGTCATTACATTTTAGGGTATTTTCAAAGATTAGTCCAATTATAAATACCCTAACTCATTTAACTTCAAAATCATCCCAAACCATTTCTTTCTCCCAATACTAGAGAGCTTTCTTGTGAGTAGTGAGTGTTTTGTAAACACCTGTAAATTTTCTCTCTTAGTAAAAGATCCGCAGCAGTCCGGAGACGTAGGCACAATTGGCTAAACTCCGTTATCAATTTTTTGGGTATTATTTTCCGTTTTTATTTCGCATTCTCACTAATCTGGTTATAGGGAAATTACTCGTTCTCTGTTTATTTCCCAACAACTGGTAATCAGAGCTTTTGGTTGTGAATTTTATCAATTTTTTGCGAGGTTACTATTCATTACTATTCACATGAATAGTGAATTTCGTGAATAGTAAATTTTTTGTCAGCGATACGAATTTGTCGACGGAGGTGTTCTAATACACGGTGGTTATCAAGAATTGTCAGAAATGATCCAAAGATGCCAGATTCGAGTGGGAGCGATGGCTGCAGATGAAGGGAAAGTGAAAATTGAGAAAGTGAAAATTGAGAAGGTGAAAATTGAGAAGTTCGATGGTGCGGACTTTGGCTTTTGGAAGATGCAAATTGAGCATTTTCTGTATCAGAAAAATCTATATCAATCTCTCTCAGGAAAGCAACTAGAGGGCATGAAGAATGAAGACTGGGCTCTTCTCGACAGACAAGCCCTCGGAGTTATCCGACTGACGTTATCCCGCAATATTTCTTTCAATATAGCAAAGGAAAAGACCACGGCGGGTCTTATGGCGGCTCTCTCCAGTATGTATGAAAAGCCATCGGCCTTAAACAAAGTGCACTTGATGAGGCGATTATTCAATTTGCGGATGACAGAAGGGGCATCAGTGGCTCAACACCTGAACGAACTCAATACAATCACAACCCATTTGAGTTCAGTGGAAATTGAATTCGATGATGAAGTTCGAGCTTTAATTCTCTTATCATCTCTACCAGACAGTTGGAATACTACTGTTACAGTAGTTAGCAGCTCATCGGGAAACAACAAATTAAAATTCGACGATGTTCGAGATCTGATATTGAGTGAAGAAATTCGACGAAGAGAATCAGGTGAAGCATCAACCTCCTCAGCCTTGCACATGAAGTCTAGAGGGAGAACTTTAGAAAGAAATTCAAATCGTAGAAGATCGAAATCCAGACGGGGAAAATCCAGAACGGGAAAGAAAGATTTTACATGTTATAATTGTGGCAAGAAGGGTCACTTTAAAAGAGATTGTCGAGCACTGAAGAAAGATACCGGCGCACAAGATTCTGTCAATGTGATAGAGGAGACAGGTGATGCCATGATTCTAAGCGTCAACAGTCTGATTGAATTATGGATATTGGATTCAGGGGCATCTTTCCACTCCACCCCATGCCGAGAAATCATGGAGAACTATGTCAGTGGTGATTTTGGGAGGGTTCATCTAGCTGTTGATAAAACCTTGAAGATCGTCAGAAAATGAGACATCCGATTAAAGTTACCAAACCAGACCACCTGGACGCTGAAAGGAGTGATACATATTCCTGGCCTAAAAAGAAATTTGATTTCTGTAGGACAACTTGATGGAGAAGGATATAGCACAACCTTTTCAGGCTGTGAATGGAAGATTACCAAAGGAGCACTCATCATTGCTCGTGGTAAGAAGAATGAGACTCTCTATAACCTCAAATTTAGAGAATATCATTACAGTAGCAGATGCTGATGAAAAATTAAACCTATGGCACCAAAGGCTTGGCCATATGAGCGAGAGAGGGATGAAGACACTTTTATCAAAAGGGAAGCTGCCGGATCTAAAGAGTGTAGATGTCGGACTATGCGAGGATTGCATCTTTGGCAAACAAAAGAAAGTCAGTTTTGCAAAGATTGGCAAGACACCCAAGGTAGAAAAGTTAGAGTTGGTTCATACTGATGTATGGGGACCATCTCCAATTCCATCTCTTGCAGGCTCACTATATTATGTCACCTTCATCGATGATTCTACAAGGAAGGTGTGGGTTTATTTTCTGAAGAAGAAATCAGAAGTCCTTGATACCTTTAGAAAATGGAAGGCCATGGTGGAAAATGAGACTGGTTTGAAAGTTAAACGGTTAAGGTCTGACAATGGAGAAGAGTACAAAAATAGAAGATTCAGAGAATTTTGCGCAAAAATAGGATCAAGATAGAGACAACAGTTCCCATGACACCACACCAGAATGGCGTAGCAAAGCGCATGGACAGAACTCTTAATGAACGTGCCAGAAGTATGAGGATACATGCCGGCTTGCCCAAAATGCTATGGGCTGAAGCTATCAACACTGCAACTTACCTGATCAACCATGGGCCCTCAGTTCCCTTGTAATACCAGAGGAATTTTGGAGCAAGAAAAAAAAACCTTTCAAACTTAAGAGTGTTTGGTTGTATTTCTTATGTACACATAAACTCTGCTGAAAGAAGTAAACTTGATGACAAGTCCAACAAATGCGTCTTTGTTGGTTATGGTGGTGATGAGTTTGGTTATCAATTTTGGGACTACGAAAATTGAAAGATCATCAGAAGCAGAGACGTCATTTTCAATGAGAAAGTGATGTACAAAGACAGGTCAACCATAGAATCAAGTAGCTCAAATACCGAAGCTGAAACAAATGAATTTGTTGAGTTTGAGGAGATTTCTAGAAATGATGTTCAGATCAATCCTGAAGCAGTTCAAGAAGAACCAGACACACCAGAACTGAGACGATCTTCCAGAATTCCTAAACCAAACCAACATTATTCGCCTTCTTTGCACTACTTGTTGCTGACTGACAATGGTGAACCAAAGTGCTATGATGAAGCAATGCAGGTGGAGGATTCAGTCAAGTGAGAGTCTTCCATGAAAGATGAGATGGACTCGCTTATGTCAAATCAGACGTGGGAATTAGCTGAATTACCACCAGGCAAGAAAACGCTCCATAACAAGTGGATTTACAGGATCAAAGAAGAGCACGATAGGAGCAAACGCTACAAAGTAAGGTTGTTAAAGGTTTTCAACAAAAAGAAGGTATTGACTACAATGAAATTTTCTCTCCAGTCGTGAAACTGTCTACAATCAGACTGGTGTTGAAAATTGTAGCTGCAGAGAATTTACATCTTGAGCAGTTAGATGTAAAGACAACTTTCCTTCATGGTGATTTGGAAGAAGAAATCTATATGAGGCAGCCAGAAGGCTTCATAGAGGCAGGCAAGAAAAACCTGGTGTCGCAACCGGTTTTCGCCCGAGCACGAAATTTTTACTTGGCGGGAAAATTAAAATGAATAAATAAATGATTTTGATTTAAAATAAAATATTTTGGGAGTCACTATTGACCCTTTGGGTTAGGTAGGTCAAATACCTTAAAAATAACCTTTTAAAATAGTTTTTAAGAAAACATAATTTAAAAGATAAACTAATATGCGTATAACCAAAAATTTTTAGTAAAGAAGAGATTCGTTGTCGATTACGTTTAGGGAAAGATTAACACCCTTAATTGGTACTCATTAATTATAAATTGTCTCTATTATTGGAAATTTAAAAATTCAAAAATATATTTAATTCATAATCATGTTATTTCAAATTTATTAATATAATTTTAAGAAAATATATTAATATATATTTTTATTTTTATAAATAA